GAGGTTCCTCAGAGCCTTAAGGTACTAGACCCTAAACCCTAAACCCCTAAACCCTAAACCCTAAACTGACTGGTAATTACTAGAGTACCACACAGCCCCTCATCGGAGACCTCAGCCCAGACTAAGGTCCAGGCCTCGAAGAGTCCCGACCTGGGCTGCTTGCCCTTGCGTTTACCTGCAAGGGTCTAGGGCTTTGGGAGTTTAGGGAGTTTGGGGGTTGAGGGTTTCGAGTATTTTGGGAGTTTAGGGGTTTGGGGGTCTTAGGGTTTCGAGTATAGGGGCCCCTCTTGAGTTGAAAAGTATAGGGCTTCCTGGCTTTTAGGGAGTAGTTGTTTCTTGGGGGTTGGGAGTCCGGGTGCTCGGGTCGGCGGGACACTTGGCGAAACCCATCGGAGCCTCGGGCTCGAGGGGTCCAGTCTTGCAAGTCTTCCCTAAACCCTAAACCCTAGGCCCTAAACCCTATAAACCCTAAACTCTAAACCCTTTTGCAGTACCTTAAATGGAGGACGCAGAGGCAAGCTTGCATCGGTCATCATATAGGGGCCTGAGTGCTGAGTGACACTATTCCTTGCAGGGTTCTTCCTTAGAGTTACAGTATAATATACTCCCCCCACAACCCGGTAGTTCAGACGACCCGATACCCTATGGTCCTGAGGCCCCCAGAGCTGGCATACCCCCCCACGACCCTACAGCTCTTAAGACCTTTATAGCTCCCCCCCACGACCGGGTAGTCCGTATAAGGCCTCCATAGCTCATAAAGGTTCTGGGGAAGGGCTGTTTCGTCAAAAGAAACCTGGAGCCTCCAAACTTCGACTCGTTAATCTTTGCTATCAGTGGGCACTGGTAACTTGATGCTAAGCCATCTCTTCATCCCGGACCTGTCAACTGTTGATGAAGCTGTGTTGACAGATTCTCCTGAACTGAGGCATGTCCCCTTCTACCAACGACTCGCAAGCCACAGATTCCACGGCCTCGACCATCACTAAAGAGGCCGCGCAGTCTCAAAACTGATGCATGGCACTGGACCTGTCGCTGGACTGATGCTGTGGAGGGCTTGCTGCCTGTTCTCCAGTCCGATAGAATCCGCGACGCGCAGGTCGTCAAATACGACGAATCTACTGGCGAAGTTGCCGTTTCTGTCAAGACGTCGTGCATGCCAGACTCCAGCAACACCGTCTGCAAGCAGTGCAAGTGCCCTTCTGAACTGCTGCTGGCACTGATGCCCTTTAAACCGTGTTCAAACTTACTACTACTACTACTACTACTACTACTACTACTGCCACTGCTACGGCTGCTGCTTCTACTCCTACTACAAGGACTACTACTACTACTACTACTACTCCAGCTGCTGCTGCTGCTACTACTACTCCTCCTCTTTTGCCGATAGTAGCCGAAGTCTGCTCGGCCGAGTCTTGCCCGTATGTTTCTTGTGCAATATGCACGCTTCGGCACCCGATCTCCCATTGTGGCTTTCCTGTCGGAGCCACAAATTTAGGTTCACAACTCTTAAGCCCAGGAAGCGGACTGCACAAAAGCAGGGATATAACGTTTATATCCCCTCAGCCCTACCCAGGCATCGTGGGCCTCGTGAACCACGAGCTCAGATCACCGCTGAATGGCTTGGCAGGGTATGCAAGGACTGTAACTGGTGCTTATGGGTTTACAAATCTGTGGCCATTGACCCAGGGATCCGAACAACTCGAAGTCATATTTCCTTAGCATCCCCATCCAATCTCAAGACCCCATGTTCATGATGAAGCCGCAAGGCCCCTGCCATTTCCGGGTGCCAGGGAAGCTCGCCTGCCAGGACCTTGGCGGAGACTGATACCAAGTACCAGAAGGAGTTCAGGCTCTTTACGAACACGGCGCAGTTCGCACTGGACAATGTGACTTGCCTCGACGAGAGAAACTGCATGGTGAATGTTTTTTTTCTGCTGCGAGCCTTCGCCTTGTGATCAATGATGGTGTTGCTTTGCTGCCTGCTGTACTGCCTGACTTAGAGGTTGAATTGCAGCAGTCTCTTCATCGTCGCTTGTGTGAGAGAAGTGTGCAGCAAAACTGAAACGCCCGTCGGCTTGTAGGCACAAGATGGAGGTCGGCTTAATTTGCAGTACCACCCGCATATAGTCCCTGTAGAATCACAGTATCATCTACCCCAAAACCCGATTCCATTAAGAGCATTGTTAGCAAAGGTGACGAATCTGATCGACCTCTGGAGCTATGTGGGGGGCTGAGTTGGAGTTGGGAGGAGGGAGCACTGGCAAACATTGTTTAAGGTTTAGGGTTGTTTTTTATTTTATGAAGGCTCCTAGAGATGTCCCGTAAACAGTTCAAGAATCTTTGGCCTTCACGTCAGAAGCCTGTGTAGCTTCGTAGTTGCTTGGTTCATGTAGCCGCACACTTGCACCATTTTGAATATGGTTGTGTCTGCCTGGTTCACATTCATTCGGGTGTAATAATAGTCCATGCATCGCCTTAGTGTCACATGGATCCCTGCTTCTGCATACTTGTATCTATCTGCCGGCCTGTATCTGTACATGTACTCAGGCTGTGTCCTTTTCATTTACCAGCACGACAGATGATGACTGCGACAACAAGCCTCCTCCGCCTCCTCCTCTCCCCATCCTCACTATCATCATCATCATCATCACCGTCATCATAGTCAGCGACAGCAGCATCATCATCATCATCGTCATCATCATATTATTCTTCTTCGTCATCACGGTGAACATTATTATTATTATTAGTATTATCAACTATCATCATCACCAGCGTCATCGTTATCATCGTCATCATCACCGTCATCACCATCACCATCACCACCATCATCATCATCATATTACTGTTAATTGTAGGTATTTTTCATGATTGTCTTACTCCGCATCGTCGTCATCATCATCACCGCCATCATTGGCATCAGCAGAGCGACAGAACCTGTGACTCGGATAGTAAGAGGGACTAGCACCTAGTCACAGCCCCTGTGAGTTTGAACTCAAGGCAGGAAAGCAGCTGGGCCACTTGGGCTGCAGAGACGGGGTTGAGGTTTTGTGGTGCTCGGTGTGTGTGTGTGTGTTTTTAGCTGGGCGTCGCTCAAGTGGACGAGTGTCCGAACCGGATTGTTAATTGCTCCATCCAATCGTTACTCCTCACCCAGGGCATTGCCTACGTCCCCAACATTTCTTTGGAAAACATGTGCTGATGACAGCAGCTAGCAGCCAGCAGCTGGATGTACCGAGCTTCGTCTTCAGGCGACCTGGTTGCGGATGGGGTCTCAGTCGAGGACCATGCTCGAAATTAAGCAGCAGCATGAAAGAAACAGAGCAGGGCAGTGACTCTACCAGCACCATGAAGAGACTGGAGGGCTCTGCCCCCTGCAGGACGTCAAAGACCTGACCCAACAGCTCCTGAACCGGGCAACCACACGGAAAGGCTGCTCGACTGCCACAGAGGTGAGGGCAGGCCTGCAAAGGGTGGGGACGCAGAGAATTGAAGTTAGGTTCCTTAGTCTCCAACAAGAGGGAACCACACCCAATGTTCTTAGGTGGAGGCTCCTGTCCGTGGGGTTCCAGGCCACCAGTTCTCTACCCTAAAACCTGAAATGCCCAAACCTAAAAACCTCTAAAGCCTGAACACCCAAACCCTAAATCCTAAAAGAAAGCCTAAAGTGCTATAAACCCGAAGGAGCCCTAAGCTGCTCTTCGGACTCGCCGAGGAAAGCCGCTGATCAAGAGCACCGTGGCTTTAGAGATGTCGGCAGCAACCTCAGCTTAGGGGCTTAGGGTTTTTGGGTTTAGGGTTTAGCGGTTTTTGGGTTAGGGGTTTTGGGTTTAGGGTTTGAGGTTTTGGTGCACAGAAATCACCACATGAAGCAGCCAAGACGGGCAGGGTTCCTCTAAGATGTACTCTAAAGATGTCTGCAAGGGAGTCAGGGCTTAATTTACAGATTTTTTGGTGAAGAAAGTATATTATAGTGATATTCTGGTATATAATGGTATATTATAGCATAGTATAGTATATTATAGTAGAATTAGCAAGGGTTTAGGACCGAAGGGCGGACGGGCTTGTGGTTCAGGCTTTCAGGATTGAGAAGCTTTCCGAGCCAAAGGACGGTAGAAATTGCCAAGGAGTAAAGTAATTATACCATAATATACTATAATATGCTATAGTATTCTATTATATACTAGAATCTATTATAATCTACTATAATATACTATTATATATACATACTCTATCTATATATATATATACTATATATATATATATGTATATATATATATATACTCTCTATATATATATATATACCTACATGACTACCGGTATACCATTTTTAGAGTGTTCCTTAGTAGAAGTATAGACGAGCATATGCCCCAAATCCCCGTTCTAGTTGTGAGGGTCCCTGCATTATGCGCCGATCCACTCCATGAGCTTGCCTCTTTCCTTTGAGGGATGTGTTCTCGTCTATCCTTGCCGCCCTTAACCCATCAAGCGGAAACTAGTCTTGAAGGGTCACAGGATTAGAGGTTAAGGTTAGATAGGTACCAAGCAGTAGAGCAGCAAACACGGAAAGCCATTCGAGAACTGTTTTGGCGATGAATAGTTTGTGTCACCACTGAAGTCACGCAAGATCGTGGCATTGCTCCCTTCTGTCAAAAAGCATGCCCATGAAACTACATGTGGCCGTACCCTAGACCCCACACCAAACTAGCAACACTCCGTCGTTGGAGCCCTCTAAATCCTCTAAACCCTAAACCCTGTGTTAAAAAAAAAACAAGAAACCCTAAACCCTCTTCGAAGAAAGCAAGGCTTCTGGAGTAGCACCGCGCATTTTAAAAGGTGGAAGACCCCAGCCTCGCTCTGACTGGCGATATCTCTTCTCTCACAGCCCTGGGCCGAGATGACCTGATACTGATTCAGGGGTTTAGGGGTTTAGGGTTTAGGGTTGTTGAGGGTTCAGGACTCAGGGCTTCCTTAATTCAATGCTTATAAGTTTGGAGTTCAGGGCATTCTGTTGACAGGTTCTGTGAGGTTTCTCTTGAAACGGGCTTTCGTGCATGTGCATTCCGCGGCACACATGCTGTTGAGCGACGATGGACACTTAACGGTTTGGCCTTCTATCATTGCATTGTCAATGTGCCAAACATCCAGCCTCCGAGCGGTCTTCCTGCAACTCATCAGGACATCCAAACCACGTCCGATGCTGAGACTGTGTCTTGCTTATCAAGTGGTGGACTGAGGATATGCACTTTCACCTCGTGGCCAACGCAATCAAGTTCACGGACCGGGGCGAGGCGGGAATTAGTCTCTACTCTTGACGCGGAGCGAGGGCCCGAGCTGTGGGCCTATGAAACAAGGAGATGCGGGCATGCTTGAAAGGTTTTTTTGCGATATCACACATCACACGTGCCAGTTTCTGCTGGCAGTAACTGCACGATGAAGTAAAAGGATGGTTACTTAAGCGGGAAAGCGAGGCGGAAAGGGCGTTTAAAATAGGGGCCTGGGGGCCTTAATAATTAGAATGGGGTTTTGAGGGTATGTATACTATAACTATATTGTTGATGATAAGGAAACCCCCCCCAAAATAAATTGGTAGTACATTAGATGCAGCGGAGCTCACGACAAACTCTTCTGGCAGCCGGCGAGATGGTGGGCGGGTGATGCTGGAAGTCTTGCTAGGGTTTAGGGCTTATAGGGCATAGCCTTGTAGCACTGAGTAGAGACTTGATCCACCTAAGTCACGTAAGTGTTTGCATGGAGGTGGCTCTTGTTGAAGCTGAGTTTCATGTTCAATGTGAGAGGTGTCTGCGACCTGGAGAAGAACTGATGATGGCCTTTCCCTCACCGTCAGAGACACAGGCTGGACTTCTGAGTGACACCCCGTTGTTTGCCTGTTTTCCCGGCGCAACTAAAGACCCTTCTCTAGGGAATAAGTGCATGACCCTAAACCCTCAAACCCTAATGCTTCCGGGGCGGGGGAAATCCCAAAAGCCGGTGTACGACCTGCCTGGCGGAACTCAGTCGGGGCTACATGACATAGCGATTCCAGGGTTTGAGATTTTGGGTGTCAGATCTTCATCTTCGGACGTTCTATCAAGTCTACACCGGAAGCGCAGGTCTCATGGGGCTTTCTGTATCCGGGTTCCTGTGGAGCGATCCCGAACCGGCCCGACTCCAATCATGAGTGGTGTGTAGGCTTGCTTCTGAATGGGGTTCTGCTGCTGCTTCTACGAACCCCAGACTTTGTAGAGTCCTACTAGACCTCAGCACTTCACATGGCATCCGTGCATCCCACTGTACTGGGCAAAAACACTGCAACTTTAGAGGTATCGGCATGGCGCAGACATGTCTGAACCGCATCTTCGACCCCTTTGAAGTCGAGGACCGCAGACGGTTCAGTTGATTTTCATTTCGGGTTTACAGTTGGCAGATCGTGGTTGTATCTTTGCTTCGTTTGCTGAAGAAGTTACACTGCTTTGCCCCACCCCTTCTTGTGAACCCTAAACGCCCGATTCAGGACAAGTCGGACTCGCGGAAGTACGAGGGGATCGGCCTTGGTCTCGCTGCAGCTGGGGCAAGAAGAGTCCGTTTTTAAAGGGTTTTGGTTTGGGGTTTTGGGTTTTGGTTTAGGGTTTCGGGTTTAGGGTTTTGGGGTTAGGGTTTAGGAGGGCTCTTAGCAGGATTTATGGGTTGGGGCCTCTGGGATTTCTAGGGTTCTTGCGGTCGGGATGCCTAACAGACCAGGTGCAACACTGAACATGGATTACACGTATTAAATGTTCGTTAAGCACTAGAATCACTAGAAGTCGTGTGGGCGGTAGTTCTTGAGCCTTGGAACTTTGTTAATTGTTATTCTCGTTTCAGTAAATTGGATCCTCAGCACACAGGCAAGACTATCGAAAGCAACACACGCATCAAAAGACTTGGATTCGACCCCATGTCCCGCTGGCCCCGGCAGCTGTTTGAAGTTTAATTCTGAGCCCGACGCACCTGACGCAGAGCAAGGTCAACTTGCATGCAGTCAGCATCTTCTGTTGCTCTGCCAGTATTGGGATGTTGGGCTTCAGCAAATCCCCGAAGCATGAACTGTGTCGTGTTCCTCAGAGGGATCAGCTTTTTGATGGAGCTGGTTCCTGGAGGAGGTTTCACGAGGTGTTGTTGGTGGACGCCCCAGATATCACATGCGAAGACCCAGGTGGTTAGAGAAATCGCCCGACTTCATGGGGCGAAGCTTTTTGTCAAGAGCACCAAGGGCGCCGCCCGGGTTGCATTGAGGAGGTTTCACCCTTGTGTACTGGGCTACGGGCATTGGTGAGGCCTTTGTTCTTTGCCGTTGGTCTTTAGGGGTCTGGGGCTTCGACTCGCATTCGAGATTCGCGTTTGTTGTCCACCCTTCCGGTTTCTGCCGTAAGCAATGGTTAAAGGACGAGGTCCGGCTACAAGACAGAAGGTTGATATTCCTGTTAGTGAGCGTATGCAGACATGCGCATTTCAGCAGGAAACGCTCATCAGTACCCGGCAACCCTACCGCTCTTGTCCTCATGCATCGGCCTGAATGACCACGCCTCCTGTCGCACCAATTCAGCACATGAACTTACTCAGCTGAGATTGGCTCTGCTGTCATCCCCCAACACCACACACAAACCAAAAAGTCTTTACCACAAGTTCCAAATCGATGTGAGGTTTTTCAGATGCTGCAACAACCGACAGAAGTTCCGGAGAGAACCGTCTTTGTCACCTAATGCTGGCGGCCACACCCGTTACAGACGTGAAAGTTCTTGCACAGATCTGAAAGCCCGATCTACCGAGCAATGCGCTCAGGAGGGAAGCGAGTTCGAAGTGCGCTTTCCGAGGGGAGCCCTCGTCGATCCCACGAGGGACACTGCCTCGGATCATCATTGATTGCTTACCCGTTTGAGTCCTGCTGTCACGCACTTCTACCGTCAGTTTGCGCGAATAATACTGCAGTGCAACTGCTTATTAAGAGCTTCCGACTCGCCGGGGTAGACCCTAAAAATCGTAGTGTACAAGAGCTTCATAGTAAATAATTACCAAAATGGTGTTGTCTGTACTACCTGGTCCACACGTTCTTCGTGGAATCTTGCATAGCCAAATCTTCCGCGATGTACACTTCGCATATCAGCATTCGATTTCATGGCATTTCGCATCATCGTCATCATCCTCATGTGTTACATGAGTATCATTAGTACTTATACCAATAACATCATCATGATGTTGACCTTTACCAAGAGCAGTACCATGGTGATTGTCACACTATCGTCAACCTCATCATCGCCACCATCACAGTCATGATGATGATGATGATGATCATCATCATCATCATCAACATCATCATCGTCATCATGGTCGTCATCATTATCATCACCATCACCAGGGTATGCAGCGCCGTCATCATCGCCGTGATCAACCTCATAGCGGGTCCCAGAAGCAACAACAACAGCAACAACAACGACAGCAACAACAACACCAACAACAGCAACAATGACACCAATCACAACCACGACAACAACCGCAACCACAGCAACAGCAACAACCGCAACAGCAACCGCAACCACAACCACCACGACGACGACGAGACGACCGCGACAGCGCAGCAGCAGCAGCAGCAGCAGCAGCGGCAATCACAGCAACCACCATGACGACGGCAATGACGACAGCAACATCATCATCATCGTCATCATCATCGTCATCATCAATCATTATCTCTGTCTGCAACAACATCCGTATGCACGACCGCATCCGCAACGACAGCGGCACAACTGGTATGTGATTATGCTTACCTTGCGCATTGACGATGATGCTGATGAATTTGGCGGTTTTTTGATGATTAGCCTGACGCTAATGAAGACGATAACGTGGACAGCGTGACGTTGATGACATGGTGCAGGACGCAGTCGCTACAGGTAGCGGTGCCGACACTATTCTCCGGAGTGCTTGTGTACCATTCTTCCCCAGTTTGCCATACTTCTTGCAGTCTCAGTCCTCAGTCCTGGACTTCAGGCTCGGAGCCATGCGATGCCGGTGCCTGGAAGGCCTCTCGGTGTCCCTGCTTTTGGGCGAGCCTAACCTTCTCCAGAATGTGTGTGTGTGTGTGTTGTTACTACGTACTAACTTAGTAACATCCCCTGAAGCGATTTAGCATGTTTGTTGGTCCGTTCAGCCAGGGTTTCGTCTCCCCGTGAGATTTTGAAAGGAGCTCCAGACAGAAGCACCAGAAATAAAGCCTCTAACTCAGCACACGAGTTCGGATTATGTGCGCCAACAGCCTGCCCTAAGATGCCAACTGCCAACAGGATGAGAGCTCGCAGTGGCCGATTCTCGACAAGCCCCCCGAAGGACTGAGAGACCTGACATGAGTTTCGAAGAGCATCGGCGGGTTTTTGCTGTAGCTAGATTTGCTGGACAGCCTTAGGCTGGGGGCAAGGCTGTTGGGAAGGGGGTGGGTGTCGAGGTGTTCTGCGCTCATGTCGTCGCTAGTGCAACAATCCTACAGTCTTCGACCATCCCTCCTGGAGAGTCTGCATCGCAGTCCACTGAACTCACGGTACGAGTCTGTTGGGATGCCTCCGTTCTTTGCTTCCGACAGCCTCTCAGCACTCAAGGGATGTATTCCGATGCCAAAGTCTGGGTTCGAACCCTGAGAGTTTGCTTCTCGGTCAGACGACCACTTTTCTATTCCGGCCCTAGCGTAGAAGAGCCGACTCGCAGATTGACAGCACGTGTTCTGTCTAATAGGCGTATCCTACCCGTGTTTGGTCCATCTTTCTAGGTTCGAGGAAGTTGTTCAATGAAATTCAGCCTGGTGAAGGCCTAGCGCGCCTGCTTCAGCCACAGGCCTGGCGGCCTGGGTAGATATGGGGAACTGCGCGCACGTACGTGTGAGTGTGAGGGTCTGCGCGTTCCTAAGAGCATGCTGTGAAGCGCACAGAGTTCGTTGGACGACGCGGTCACTGCGGTGGAAATATTACACGACTATACAAGATTGGGCGCAGCAACAAAAGTGCTACCCCTTAAGACGTGCCAGGCAAGCGTCAATTTGTGTGACTCCCCGTTCTTCATCTTCGTGTGTAATGAATGGAATTTGCTTTGGGTGTTTGTCTTGCCGCAAAATACTGCCAAGCAGACACTCCGGATGCCCGTAGGCAAAAGGGCTATCCAATCTTTCTACTTATTGTGTGTCTCACCCCGTTTTGAATTTCCTTGGTGGCATTGTGGAAGCAGATGGATGCCTTGACCGGTACAGTAAGTGCAGATCTAGCCACCAACATCGTGGTTTCATGCCCTGATGGATAGATAGCCCTACCATCATGGTGCTACACTACGTTATCACACTTAGTGTCGCCAGTGTTGTCCACAGATCCCGTTAATTACGCGCTCGATCGTCGTAGCTCCCGACGTTGAAGCACTTAACCTTGATGTATTCTGCGAAATGCCATCCAGGTCAGTAGACGCAACTCGCAGTACAGAACAGTAGATGCTATGGCAAGCCTGCTGAAGCGTACCTTCTTTATGGATGCCGGGTCTAAGGACAGCGATATGAAGACTCTTTACAGGTTTCTTTGTCCGCAATCGTGGATGGTTGGCCTCATGTAAAAACTTGTGCATTCCTGGATCTGTGCTGCAATTTCTCCGACATCCAAGCATGCTGTGCAGACGAGGAGATAGTATCACCGGGCGGACCGTGCACGGCCTTAGAATAGCTTACACAGTAAGTACGCATGTATATTGGCACGAGAGAGTTCTTTTGCAGATGTAGGCTCATTTAAGGCAACTAAGGGGAATACTGGAATGTATTGTCAGGGAATGTAATCTGCTGTGATTGGACGTTGTTTCGCAAGTGTGATATTGTGCGACGTAATGCAGCATAATGGAATGGAAGGGAATGCAATGTACTGTAGTGTAGTGTAATGTAGCGGAATGTAGCGGAATGGATTCTGTTCTAACCTGCTCCAATAATGTACTCTCGCCTCATCTCTCACATAACCAAATCCAGTCAACTCTAGTCAAGTCTTACAAACGGTGGTGTATTATAATGCAGTCCCGGATGGATAGGTGGCCGCGCGCATGCATGGATGGATTTGACGATGTGTGTTAATGTATACTGTATGCCTATCGGTATATGTATTAACATTCTGTGTGTATATATATATATGTATATATGTATGTATTTGTATATGTGTTCTTCGCATAATTTTCTGTTTTTCAGAAGAGGTTTCTAAACTGGCATGAGAGACTCATGCCATCCTCCATGGAACACTATAGGGCGTTGACTAGGGCTTGATGTTTGAGGGCTGGCTTGCGCATTGCCTGTTTGGGGTTTAGGGGTTATAAGCCTGAAGGCTCTTGAAGCCTAAACATCTTCCTTTCGGTGAGTTTCAACTTGACATCTACACCCTAGGCCCTTAAGCAGGTCCACGTAGCAGCCCTGCTGTGGGCGGACGTAAGCGGGCCACTTTGCCTTGATTTCCGACGTTGAGCTCCTGGTATTCTCCTCGTCGTTGTAGAGTCCGCAGCCAGGGGCATGGTGCAAGTCTGTACTGTACCGTTCTTCTGAGGCTCTACAGGGCATTCTTTGATCTCTTATAATTAGAAGCTTCCAAGCAGACAAAACCCAGGGTTGTCGGTTCCACTTGCTTCGGCGCCGAGTTTTCGTGCGAAAGTACGCTGTGTTGCATTGTTCCGAGTCGATCTGGATGCTGCTATGCGCAACTACAATTCATGATTATCAGTATATTGTTCAGCAGTAGTTTCGCCGGCGACGCAAAGCATATTCTTTGGCAACCACCTGGCCTATGCAGCTATCAGTCAATGCTTCAGAAAGATGTTGGTCTAATCGCTAAACGTTTGCGACTGGTAACTGGAAGCACTGGCTGTTTTGCGCCTATGAGTCGCATTTCAGGGCCTGTGCTGGCCTTTCAATTACCCAGAGATGACGGAGAGCCTATGCTCTCCGGCTCCTATCCGCTCGATCTGCCTTTTGAACCAAAAATGCTCCGGGATGGTATTGGTAGCTACAGGATTGAGAGCTCCGACCTTCACAGCAAGTAGCAGCAGGAGAGAGGACAGAAGCACGCTTCTGCACAGCTATCGAAAGAAGTGCCAAACACGGCAACATCATACAGTGTGCCGTGGTGTTAGCTGTTAGCCATGGTTTCGGATGCTGCAGCGTCAAGCTTCCTGCGTGAGTTTCACAGATTTAAGCAAACATTCTGACATGCCAGCATTCTTCCCCATGAATCTTGCGATCAGATGTGTACCAAGGTGTTTACAAGTCTGCTGAAGTTTCATTCCGTGGCGAACGCCGTGGAGACCTCTCATATTTGCCTTACAGCTTGTAGCACAAGCTTCTTTCGGAAGCCTGCTGAAATCTGCAGGATGCGGCCGGGCGCACATTGTCAGGGCAGGCGCCAGCATGATCTATGAACTCAAGACTTCCATGTTGAGACTTCCATGTTGCATGGGATTGGCCCATGTCTTGTTTGTCCCGGATTGACTTTTGAGAGGCCAAATACATGATCCTTCATAAACTTTCAGAGATGGCTGGAATGACTGAGTACGGTGGTCATGATTAGCGAGTTCATCATCTTCGCGGAGCTTGGAGCAATGAGATGGTCAGAACCCACGAAGTGACAACCGAGACTCACTCGGCTGCTTAAGCAGCAGTCCTATCACCCAGCCCCGAAGGCCCCCGAGTATCCAGGACCTATCAACCACCATGGAACTCAAACACCCCACCACCTGCTCTCACGACTTCTGAAAGGATTAGAAGTCATGTTGTGCATTCTATGTTGCGTCTATCTTTGATCTAGTACAGAAAGGGAAGCCGTTTGGGCTCAGAGCTTTCCGAGCGGGTTGAGGCGGTCCCGAGCCAATGACAGCCTTATTCAGGCCATGCGCCGGAGTCCGAATTTTCATAGCTGGCGATCAGGTTCATGTAGGAACCTGATTAAGAAACCCGGGCCGCATAACCCCAAAAGATTAGGATCCATGTAGACCTAACAAAGATTTAGGGTTTCTTAATCAGGTTCCCTTATTAGTAGAATCGTGCAACTTGCGAGGTGGTGGACTTATGGTCGGCAGGGTTGCAAGATTCAGGGCGTATGGAGTGAGTGTTGGTGTTGGTTATGTGTATATACATATATATGTATATGTATATACACACACACACTTATTATGATTTCCCCGTGTGCAGGTTGAAAAAAATTAAAACGTAGTTTATGTTTGCATGTCTGCAGGTCTGCATATATACATATCTGCACATGTATATACGTACAGACATGCATACACACATGCATGCATACATGGTGTGTGTATATAGTCTGTATGCATGTATGTGTACATACATGTGTATATATATA